GGGCTAGCCCTTCTTAGCCCAGTCCACATTTCCAGTGCCTTTGACTGCTCACAACCCAGACACAGGAGAACTTCTCCAGTTTTAGGAAGGGTTTCATATAGTAAGACTGTCTTTGGAAGTGCTTTTCATCAGTCACCTCTTAGCATTAGCTAAAAACTGCCTCCCTTAGGAAACCAATTCCCTTCTCACAGAGAGCATTTTGAATAGAAAATTGATACAAGGTTTTGACTGGTTTTGTTGCAGCCCCTTGAGAGAAACAGGCAATCTCAGTGCTGACTAATCAGGACTTGCGGGGCACACAGGCTTTAGCCTCTTCCTCCAGTGAAGTGGGGAGAAAGAGAAACGAGACCGTGTCAGAGGAGCCTGCAAGATGGTCCTGACTCTGGATGCACTAACAACATCCTTGCTCATTGGCCTCCTGCCCTCTTTCATTCTGATGGCATTATTTTGCCAGTTTCCAGGGCAGCCAGATGTGGTCCCAAAGCATGGTGCCTGCCTCTTAGATACTTTTCTTCTCAACTGGCTTGGGTTCCTGTGTGTGGCTGCAGAAGCTCCTATTCATTTTCTCTCCACCTGGGTAATAGATCAGATACCCATCAGGATCCCCAAGCGTGTCCTCTTCTCCTCCTTAGGGCCTTGAACTACAAGTACTTGATTTTAGAATGTGTCCTCTGGGTCTTTGGGATCCTCTAGTCAGGAGCTGGCAAGTTAGGGATTATTGGACTCACCTCCATTTTTACCTGCAATTCTACATTAAGGGCTGGGAATACAAATGATCCAGTATGATTCCTGTACTCACAGACCTTTGGTCTGGTGGGAAGGCAGAAACAAAATGAAAGTATGATTAACTGTTGGGGGAAGGGAAGTGATGATAATGGAATGAGTGGTTGCCAAGAATAGCTGCATTATTAAAAACCCCTATACGCCATTGGATATTCAGTTGGTCTGACTACCTTCTCCTCTCAGTCAGGTACAAGGAGTCTAAGAGAATACACTCTTATGGAGCTGCTTGTGGTAAGTGCATAATGGAGACTTGAGGTGTTAGGAGCCCCTGTTCCACTATGAGGCCCAGCCTTTCTGCCTGGGACTAAGGACTTGGGGTGGTCAGAGACCTGGGACTGGAAGGCAAGGTGGTCATTTACTGTTCTCACCCACTAACAGCATGGGCAGAGGGCCTGGATCATTTAGGAAAAAGGCAGTAAGGGAGGGTGGACTTTGAGGTATGTGGAACACTGGGGGAAAGAAATGAGGTTTCCCTGCTGGGAGTTGGGCTGATGGGTAGTATGTTGAATTACAGATGCACATGGAAGAGCCTTGTTTTGACTTCCTTCGAACCAAGCAGACCCTTGGGTAAGTCTGCTGGCAAGGACACTGGGCTCAAAATAAGAGTCTGGGGCTTACTCTGCAGGCTGAGGTTTATCAGATATCCTTACTGAGCAGCCTCTCATAGCTCTTTGGTCCTTCCGTGCCTTAGAGTACTTTCCATACCTACTTGTTAGAACTTCTGGAATTTGCTTCTTGGAATATGATCAGATTTTTCATTTGGTCAGCTTTCAAGATAAGAAAAAATGCTTGTGCTCCTCAATTCAGGAGAGGGGTAGCCACCTTAAAATTTATGGGTCCTCTTTTCCAGGTCCAGTAAGGATAGGCAGAAACCCTTTCCACTCACATCTAGTGCCTCTATGGGCAGGGCCCAGGTGACAACCTGAGCTTATATAATTTTTCACTCTGGCTGTAGGTACCATGTATATCCTACCTGTAGGAACACATCTGGGATTCTAGGATTCTCTGTCACCGTGGGGACGCAGGCAACCAAATACAAGTGAGTAAGCAAGTGAATAGTTGGGAGTCTAACCTAATATTCTGGCATGGAGAATGGGAGCTTTATGTGCTTCCTTAAACCTCTGATGACTCTGACCAAGCAGGGTTTGCTGTATTTAGTCACTGCAGAGGGTGTGGGGCAGGGGGTTATAGTTCGCCTGATCCAGGACTATTCGATGGTTCCAGTGGTCCTATAGGGCTTGATGCAAGTCCTGTGGTCACTGTGCAGGGCTTGCCAATGTTTCTTCTCTTCAGGCAAACCTGAGGACAAGAAAGGCAAGGATGCCTGTCGTGACATTCATATTGGAACCTTTGGTTCTCAGCTTTGGAATGACTTCTTCAGTATGAGGATACTAGGAAATTGGGCTGAAGGTGGGGGGAGAGGAAGTGTTCCTCCCCATTCTCTTCCCTCCCTCAACTGAAGGTAAAACGCTGAGGCCTGGGAAAACACTGCAGCCTTTTTCCTGGAGATGTGCCATGTCATAATTCTTTCTGCCTGAGACACCAGTTTTCTTGATGACTTTTAATTGAAGATGTTTTGTTTCAGCTCTGAAGTTGTTGATAAGAAGATAGAAGAGTTTCTTTCTAGCTTTGAGGAGAAGATTGAAAACCTCACTGAAGATGCATTCAACACCCAGGTGACTGAGCTGTGCCAGCCTAGGCTTTTGGTCTTTCACCCCCATGAGCCCTCAAGACACCAGACATTAGCTTTAATAGCACTATGTGCTGGCCAGTTTTTGAACTTTGCAGTCCCACCTTAATCCCTCCCTGTCCTGCTGGCAGTTCCATCACAAGCCAGGCTGGACAGGGCCAGGTGTGTTCTGGGGAGACTGGTATGAGGACATGCCTGAGCATTTCTTTTTGCTGGGAACAGGTCACAGCTCTGATCAAGCTGAAGGAGTGTGAGGATACCCACCTTGGGGAGGAGGTGGATAGGAACTGGAACGAAGTGGTGACACAGCAGTATCTCTTTGACCGCCTTGCCCATGAGGTAATGTGGTTTTCAGAGCAAGACAGCCCTGACAGGGTTCAACAGGAGTCACAGGTCCAAGCAAACCAGTATTTTGTATGCAAGAGAATCCTGGGACACCCAAACCGGCTTGGTTACTTACTTGCTCATTTCATTACTCTGACTTGCCTCCCCAGCACCTCAGGTGGCCACGTGAGCAGGGTGCTAACCCTTACCGTGCGCCCTCCCCAGCTTCAATCAGAGCAGCTCCACTTGTGTGTTATATTGAAGTTCGTAAGATTTTGTGGAGAAAAGAAGGTTCTGCTATTTAATGAAAATTATTCCATGAACAGGCCCAAAGGAGTAAGAAACCTATGAAAAAGAGCTCTGGATCCTGCAATTCAGTGCTACTTCTGATAACATATAACCCTTTGTGGAGAATTAGCAAAGCACAACATTGCTCTGTGAGGCTGAGAGGTTATTTAACAAGAGGTTTCAGCACAGCTCACCTTAAGGCACTTGTTTTCTTAATAGAAGACAGATTAAAAATTTGCCTGTTTTAATAGCTGCTGTATTTTCCTCAAGCCAGAATATGCAGTTACCATATAACTGGGAGGAGACACTAAGGAGACACTCGGGTATCAGGCTCAGTGTACAGTATTCAGCTGTAATTACAGCATCTGCTAACCTCTCTTGCTCATCTGCTAATGTAGATCATTGCTATAAAACATGAAGGTTCATCAGAGAATTCATCTTTATCCTTCTGGAAGGTTAGGGACAAGGTGAGGTTAGGAAGAATAAAATGAAGTCCTTAGATGCTAAGCAGGGCCAAGGAGGTCTGCCTGGGGGTTATTTCTTTCCTATCTTCCCTTTCCATGTAAGATTGAAGCACTGAAGTCATTCTCAAAATCAGACCTGGTCAACTGGTTCAAGGATCATAGAGGACCAGGAAGTAAAATGCTCAGCGTTCACGTGAGTGTGGTTAACTAAACTAGCTCTACCCCTTTACTGAACTTGGGTTGTTCAGAGACCACAAATCTGGTCAGTGTATTTCTCACCTTGAATCTTTGGCCTCTTTCAGGTTGTTGGATATGGGAAGTATGAGCCGGAAGAGGACAGCACCCCTTCTGGTGAAGATTCAAATTCTTCTTGTGAAGTGATGCAGCTAACCTACCTGCCAACCTCTCCTCTGCTGGCAGATTCTATCGACCCCATTACTGATATCAGGGCTTTCACATCAACACTCAACCTTCTCCCCTACCATAAAATAGTCAAATAAACTGCAGTCTCATTGGCCTGAAGCAATGTGTATTTAAAAATGTGTTTGTAATTTATGGAGTTACACTACTACTGCCTTAGGGCTTCCAATGAATTTTTGCACTGGCATCGGAGAATTTGATTTACTTTTTAATCCCTTCTCTATTGAAAAAGTGTGGCCAAAAAACTTGCTACAGCAATTTGGGAATCCCTGGCCTGTGTCCTATCAGACTGAGAATCTAGTTCTTGAAAAGCCCCATGTAACCAGTGTGTTATTAATAACTAAATGCTAGAGTGTTGGTACCTAAATGCTAGGTACTAATACCTGTTTCTGATTTTTTTAAAATGTATTTTTAAATAAAGATAGCTCTGTATTTCCCTTCAAAATGAGCCATTTGCTGCTGTGGCATTCTTATTACATTGTGGGGCTGGGATCTAAAAATACGGTCTTTCCAAACCCTCTAAGGTGACACAATACGTTGGTACCCCTACACTGGGATACAGGTTCAGTAAAGACTTTGGGGAGTAGCATGGTAGGGGCTAAACAAAGAACACAGAGTATAAGGGAGTGTGATTATTTTAAGAGTCATTTGAAAAGCTATCTCCTATAAATAATTGGCTTCCAAGTTTAGCCATAAAGATAATAAAAAGCACATAAAAAAAGGTTGAAAAAATTACTTTATGAAGCCTTAAGAAGCGCTGAGTATAATTACAATTTAATAATATTTCACTTCCAAAATAAAAGTTATTATAGGGTGAGACCATGAAATTTCCTAACACTTGATTTTAATACATTGCGCTAATTTTCTAAAACAACTCAGAACCCATATTTACAATAGGTGGAGTACTTATGAAAAATCTGGCATCAGGTATATTTTATATGTGTGGGTGTATATATATATATATATAACACCAAAAATTATATGAACTAAGAAACAGAGCTTGTATATCTTAATAGCAGCACTAGAGTACAGAGTTAGAGACTTGGATTTATAAATGCTTTCCAATGCCTGGGCTATGGAAAAGGAGCAGACATCTTGTTTTCAAAACCTGAAGTTTTTCTCAGGACTGAAGTCAAAATCGTAACTGCCACAGAGGAAAAAAGGGAAGCTTTTCCCGCTTTAATTGTTCATCTACGTCGGAAAGTCAGTATCCCTGAGATAGGAACCACTGTAATAAGAAGGGAGTGAATAGGTTCTCCCAAGGAAGATTGTTTGTTGCTGAATTACGCCTACTGGTCATCAGATGTAAACTTTGCATTTCCCGGCCTAATGCTTGGCAGCACCAAGACGTTTTAGTAATGGTTCATCATAAACCCAACATTCTCCATCTTCATGAAATAACTGTAAAAGAAAGGGGGAGAATTTAGTCACACATTTGCTTTGCACTTCTATAATATGCTTTTTATTATTTCATGTCTTCTCCCCCCATTAGACTGAAATGAGTTCCAGATAGGGACCAGGGATCATCTTGTTCATAAACAGTGTTTGGCAGTTCACTTCTGAAACACTGAAATGAGTGAATGATTTATTGCTCAGAGCACAGGCGGCATAGCAGGTAAGAGGCTAGGGGCAGGCAAGCTTACCCTGGTCTCCCACTGAATTTCCTTCTCCTTCCTTTCTCGGGCTTCTGCTCTTTGTCTTTCTTCAAGTCTGTGCTTTGCTTCAGTTGCTGCATCAATGTCTCTGATTTTTAAGTTGAAAGTAACATCCTTCCAGAGGCTAAAAAAAAAGATCAAGAGTAGCTGGCTATCTTGAGAATTAAAGCCTAGAGCCACCTCTGACTATGGCATAATAACAACAGTATAAGTCAAATGGCTTGAAGTGCTGTAGTTCTCAGACTAAATATCCTTAACTGGCACCAGGGCACAGGAGTAAGGAACAGGGAAATTAGCCCAGACTGCTAGTTTTCAAACAAGGAAATCAGGGACAAGCAGCTTGGTACATAAGGATAAGAGAAGAGAGAATAGTGGAAGCTGAGACCTGGGATTCTTACACTTCTACCTCTAAACTTGCTACGTAACTTTGGGGGAATCAGTTTACCTCTCTAGGGTTTGAGTGTCCCTTGCTATAAACTGAAAGGGTTAGATCAGAGGAGCTGAGAAAAACTCCCTTGAATTTAACAATGTGATCTTGGAGAAAACAGTATAAGCACAGGGAATAAGGGTCAAGAGGTAAATTGCAGAAGCTTAAGGGAGTAAGAGGTGGCTTCCTCTCAAGGCCACTATTCCCATTTCAAGAAAGGAGGCAAAAAGAGGTTAGCTAACTTAGCCATGGTTACAAAGCTAGTAAGTGGTTCTGACACAAACCCAGGCAATCAAACCTGGTCTGTACTCTGTTAGGCTCTGCTATACTGTCTCGAAAACCCACCCCTGTGCCTATGCCCGGGCAACAGTGTAAGCGTTGCAGCAACAGCTCTAGATATGCCTCCTTACCAGCGGGATTCGTACTCATTCTGATCTTCCAACTTCCTCACTTTCTTTTTGATTATAGGCAACTTCTTGGTATCTACAAAGACTGTATTTTCCTAGAAAACAAAAGAGATGGATGGATGTTTTATTATTCAAACTGTTCTAGGAGGAAGAGTCAACTCTTTCCAGAGACTGTAATTAGCAGACCCAAAAATCAAATCCCATATATGTTAATGATGTATGAGTTTCACATGCAGTCTTAAGCCTAAAATAAAATTATTGTCTTAAGTCTAGAGGCTCAATTCAACAGACATTTTCAACGTGGCTACGTGCTGCATGCTAGGGATATAACCTCTTGGGGAGCTAATATTAAGTACACTGTCTGAAGTTCCTTTTACATTTTGAATTCTCCACGTCCAAAATCCAGTTCTCACTGGGTCCTCCTGTTAATTTCATACCACCTTTCTTCCTAGCTTAATGAGAACACTGGGTGGGTGGTACCAGAGAGTGCAAGTTCCTTGAAGGCAAGAACTACTTATTTCTGTATCCCTGGTACCAGGCAGTCAAATTTTATTATACAAAATCTTAAAACTGTGTGTGTAGATAAACACGTACACACACATTCCTTTAGCACTTCATTTTATATAAACATACTATACTTTCTAATGATATACCTGACATTTATTGGGTTCTCACTATGTGCCAAGCATTGTTTTACATATATTATTCTCAAGTTTTTTGAGAGCAGAGAGAAGAGTAGAAATCATTCTAGTACCTGCACTGCTGGGGAGGCGGGGGAAGGAAGGAAAAGCCTTGCCCTAAGAGACAACTTTAGAGCTGGCCTCTGTGGTTAAAGTTCCAGATGAAGGAAGCCAGAATAAAGGATAGGCTACAATTCAATGTAGCTGGAAACCAGTGGCAAAGTATAGGTTCTTACCCCTGTTGCATATTTTGCATACATTACACCATTCCATTCCCCTTCAATAGAGCAAAAAGACTTCTTGTCATTTGGAGAACTGAAAAGGAAACATTTGTGTTAGATTCAAGTTGAAAATTACTCTACCAAAGAATCTGGTCGGTATGGCCTATCTACACACAGTAGAACACAAAAGACCAACTGTGAAGTCTCTGATGGAATCACCTTAACATAAGGGAACTGGATTTCCCAGGGCCACCTGTAAGAGTGAGGACCCAGAACAAGATGCTTGTGAACTCAAGATCCCATAAACAGCAAGTGTGGGTAAGAGAGCTCTGCTCTGCTAGGGCCACAACGGATTTGGCACATTCTCTGCCCTCAAGCTGTTCACAGCCTAGTGAGGAGAGGTGCACTGCCATCGAGATCCTCAGTGGGAAGTGCTGTGTGAGCTTGTGTGGGCACTGGGGGTCTAAGGGCAAAACTGCTGGTGCGAGGGTCAGGCAAGGCTTTGCTTATGACTGTAATGCTGGAGACCAGGCTTTCATCTTCAGGTTGAAAGGGACTTCTGGGCCTAATGCTTTGACCACTTTTCTTGAGCAAGGATCCCTTCCTCAAAAGCCCTGACAGGCCTCTACTTGTACACACAGGTATGGAATTTGAGAAGACAAGCATCCTAGCTAAGGCCTAGTTAGGAATGGCGGGGCATGAACAGAAGACTGGAAGAGGTCAGAAAGAAAAATGAACAGGGTAGAGGGATGAAAGCTGCTATCACCAACAGAAACTTAAGTGTCCTCCTTAACTCGGGAGGATTTGGGGAAAGGGAACCATGGGAAAGAAAGATGGTAGGATCTCAGGTTTACGAGGTCTTTGCACAGTGGTTCTTAAAGTTTGGTCTCGGGGTTCTAAGACCATGTCAGGGAAGGAGTCCATAAACTCGAAACTATTTTCATAATATTAAGACATTATTTGCCTTTTTCACTCAGTTTTCTCACAAGTGTATGTGATATGTAACAACAGAGTGATTAGACTTAGAAAATTTACAAAATGTACAATGCCACTTGTCTTACAAATTTTTTAAAAAGTTTAGAAAAGCTACTTTTCATCAGAAATGCTATTATTTTCATTTGTAAGTTAATAAATATTTTAAAATCTCAGTATTAATTTCTAATATGAAAAATATTGTTAGATATAATCCATATAAACAAAAGCTCTTTAGGGTTCTTAATAATTTTTAAGTGTAAAGGGGTCCACAGACCAAAAAGTCTGAGAACTACTCAGTGCAACTCTTCATCTGATACTCAAATTTCTAATTTAAAGACCCCATCAAGAGCTCTTCCAGCTCACATCTTTGTAAGGGCAGTCTTTTGACTAAAAATGGCTCTGACTGGCAGAAAATTCTGCTGAGCTAGCAGTTCCTATTGGTGTTGGTTACCTCTAAGTGCTCTGAGAAGCAGGCACACCCATCTGTTTGTTCTGAACATCCTAGTCCATCATCTGCCTATTTTATTGGGGGTAGGGGGAGCTGCATTATTGTGGTATCTTGTGTTGTTCTTCAAGCCCTGCCCATATATTCCAACCGGAATAATTTTTTATACTGATCCTTAGAAACTTCATCTTGTTCATGGTCCCATCTGCTCAAGATATTTTTGGATGCTGATTCTGACATCCAAATTAAATTATCTCCCTGGAAAACTGGTTAAGCAATTGTGTGTCTTCCACCTAGGACACTGCTCCCAATAAGACCTTCCGGGGCAGAGGAAAGTCTAGAGGCACATTACTACAGACTTTCTTCTTTAGGCAGGCTCTGAACCCACTCAAGCTGACTGTTACCCAGACAGCACAGTCATCTTCATTTGACCCAACAGTGCCAAACGGAACCAAGCCAAATGCCTGCAAGATGTGACGGTTACTGTTTTTCCCCAGCAAACGCATAGAAAAAGGAGGGGCTGTAAGGACTTGGAAACACTTCTATAGGGGTCACAGTCTGTTTGTAAGGACTAGTTGATGGTCCAACCTGGCAGGATGAGTTAAGGATCCATAAACTGGGTTAGCTAGGCAACTTAGGAAGGCCCTGTTCAGCTCCTCATCACAAGTCAGGTTCCTAGGAAGGAAATTCCATCAATGGACCTCTGACTGCTCTTGACCCACGTTTTAGGTCTCCTGATATGGGATTTTAGGAAGAGCCATCACACAAAAGGTATGAGGCAAGTTTACAAAGATAGAAGCATTCTTTCACATTTCTAACACAGAAAGTACAATTTAAGACAAAAGGAAAAGTATCTCAGAGAAGCAGAAGAGAACTGAAGCAGAAAAACAAAATACCTACAAAATCTCAGCAGTAATTCTGTGCTTCTTGCCCCCATAGAAAGGTTTAGTGTGGAAGATGATATTTGCACTATAGCCCGTTTTGGAACAATTAATATTGCATTCTCCTCCTAATTCCACCCAGGGCACTGTGAGGATAGACCTGCAAAATCAAAAGTTTTCAGGTAAGGCTGACAGTTAAGGGGAAAGAGAGGAGGAGGGGCATGGCTTAAGGAACAGCAGGGTCTACTGCTGATCAGAGCACATGGACACAGCTCTACTTGCCTTCCGTAACCATTGGGGAATGTGAGAATGTAATGTTCATCATAGTCTAGACACGAGACACAGCCTGTGGAAAGAGGGACAGAATCTCTGATGAGCAGTGTCAACTGGGGATAGTCTACCTAGTACCCCACCCCTGCTCTCACCCCAATACGGACGCTTACTTGCTAACAATGACATCCAGTCTGGCTTTCCGGCGCCACTTCCTCTTACCAGACAAGTGTCCAGCACACATTAGAATGACACAAAAATCTCTTATTAATGTTGTAGTCCACCCAATGCCCACAAACTTACCCTGCCCTATGTTGTGTACCCCAATTGACATTCCAAGGAATTTTGATTTGGTCCAGATATGAGCATTGAATTGTATCTTCTTGTTAAAACACTCTGCATAAAAGGCTGAAACTAAATAGAAAATGTTTTCAATTAGTGCACTATATAGCTACAGCCACCTCTCCAAACTCATTTAACCTGGGAGATAAAACGATCCATGGATAAATCCTTCAACCTTCAAAGAACAGCCTCAAATTAGGCCAGGAGGTACCTACCTACTTTTTATACCTTTTCCCCCAATGCAGGCATCCATTCAGAGCCACATGGGCAAGAGCTTCCCTGAACTATGAGGCTGTGGCCAAAGCAGGAGGCTTAAAACCAAAAAGGGACTATCTGTTCTCATGGTCTGCAAGTATGCAGTACTGCATCCTGTATTTCCATTCTGAATATTGCACTTAACAAGATGCTGAGGGGATATGTATAGCTGGTGGGTTCCATATCCACAGATTCAACCAGCTGCAGATCAAAATTATTTGGAAATGATACTACTGAGAGAGAATTTTTAAAAAATTTTGGAAAAAATAAAAAATAGCAACACAACAATAAAAACAATACAAATTTAAAAATACAGTATGACAACTATTTACATAGCATTTACATCGTATTAGATATTATAAGTAATCCAGAGATTACTTAAAGTACATGGGAGGATATGCATAGGTTCTATGCAAATGTGCATAACCATTTTATATCAGGGTTGTAAGCACCCTCAGATTTTGCAGGGCATCCTGAAACCAATCCCTCACGGACACCAGGGACGACTGTATTCTCTCAATTATGCCAAGAATATACTGTGCAGAAACTATGTATCACACTTAGACTCGCTCACAGCTGCTGGGGTCTCTACAGCACAGATCATTACGTGTAAGATGACTTTGGAAGAATTAAAAGTGGGTTTCCCAAATCTCTTCTTTTTATACATATTTAATCAGTGAAGCTAAAAGTGTCTTTGGAACTTATACAAGGAACAGATACAGACATGAAGAACCAATCAACTCAAGTTTCCACTTCAGGTGATAGGAAAGATATGGCCAGCCATACAACTGACAGTAAAGTAACCTCAGTTACGGATCTTTTAATGACCTTCTTTGCACAGAATACTTTGAAAGTGGAGGTTGCAGAGGAGCTCTGTAACTTACTGGGTGGATGATGGGAAACCTGCTCAGCCACAAATGTGACACTGTTTTTGGAAACCCCAGGTACTGGTCCTTCTGAAACTAGCTCCTGTAAGCAAACAGAACATTTCTTTTGATGTGGAAACACGAATGACATTTCAGAGAATCTGATAATTGGAGTCTCTGCTCTACACACACCAAGCATCCTATACATACTTCTATTATGGCATTTAATTACTCTATTCTAATTACTGCTTTGTGTCAGTCTCCCTAACTAAACTAAGACTTTTTTTTTTTTTTTTTTGAGACAGAGTCTCACTCTGTTGCCTGGAGTAGAGTGCCGTGGCGTCAGCCTTGCTCACAGAAACCGCAAACTCCGGGGCTCAAGCGATCCTACTGCCTCAGCCTCCTGGGTAGCTGGGACTACAGGTGCGCGCCACCATGCCCGGCTAATTTTTTCTATATAGATTTTTAGTTGTCCAAATAATTTCTTTCTATTTTTAGTAGAGACTAAAAATGCTCAGACTGGTCTCGAACTCCTGACCTTGAGCAATCCTCCTGCCTCGGCCTCCCAGAGTGCTAGGATTATAGGCGTGAGCCACCGCGCCCGGCCTAGACTAAGACATTCTTGAAGGAAAGGATCATGTGTCTAATTCAGGGCCAGGTCTGACACAGAGTAGGCACTTATCAATGTCTCCCAAATGAATAAGAACAGACACATACTGCCTCTATCTTTAGTAAGGACTACATGTAACATGTCACTCGGAAAGGCAAAGATATGGAAAGTCACATTTACTGAAAGATTACTAGTGCCAAACTCTGTGGGCTAGAGTTCCCCCCACCCCCTCCAACTTCTAAAAGCTTTTTAACATGCATCTGAGTCTTCCTTCTGAAGTTGTCATCTTCAATCCAACCTTTAAATGCTGGAGCCTTGGAGCTCAGTTCTGAGTTACCTACTCTTTTGTAGCTATGCTGTCCTCTTAGATAATTTCATCCAATCTTAGGGCTTTAAAATGCCATCTAAATATAACAAAATCTCTGAGAGCCCCATCCCTACCTCAGACCTTTCCCTTGAACTCTACTCTCCTAAATTACAATTCCCTACTCCTCTTGACAGTCTAAGTATGGTATTAGTAAGTACCATACTTTGTATTTCAAGCTGGACCTCTTGATTTTTCCCTCCCCGAATCCAATCTTTTCCTTATCAGTAAATGACACCATCAACTGCTGAAGTCCACACGCAAGGATTCGTGTCTGATTGTCACCTTTCTCTTAGCTCACCCAATTGACCCATCAGTTCTGCCTCTGAAATACAGCTTGAATCACCATGTCTCTTGTGGAATAGTGCTGAAGCCTTCCCAATGGTCTCCATGCTTCTATTTTTGCCCCTTCTTGATTTATTTTTCACAAAATTACTGTAATAAACTTTTCAAGACAAAAATGAGATCCTGTTAAGCCATAACATTATCATTATGGCTTACAAGGCCTTGCATGATCTGATTTCTAAATCTCCATTCTCTTCTCATCCCACTCTTTCCCCCTTCTCATTATATTCAAAATATGATGATCTAAGAACAATGTTCTTCTGTAGGTGCTGAGTATCTTCTGATCATTATCGCCTGTTCCTAAATAAAATGAAATCTTGAATCAGTATACAAGTTAAGATAATTAAAAATGTCAACACAGAACTCACTGTATTCTCTTCAGTATCATTTGGTAATGTCCAATGACACTGAAAGATTTCGCCCAAAATGGGGTTGTATGGCTTTTTGGCGACTGATCCTTTCCTTCCTGCATGAAAGGCTGAGAGGTACCATTTCACAACCTGAACCATTCGATCCCTGGGATCCTTCTGGTCACTAATGCTGTAAGGGAGAGAGACAAAACTTAATGTCCTGCTTTTTGGCAGAATGCAAGCTGATGTAGCACCCCTCAGCATGAACCACCCTGAGCGAGGCTGAGAGCATCAAGGACCCAGGATCAGGAGTTACCTCAAAGTTTCTTTTTAAAATTGAGATACAGTATAATATTTAAATCCCTTCAAAAAATAAATGCCTTCAACACAAATAATAACAGTGTAGTTTGGGGATTAAGACATGGAAATGTAGTATGTACGAGAACAGTGTCACACAGGCTGGGAGGGAGGAATGGAAGTGTACCGTTGTAAGGTTATCATACCATGTGCAAAGTGGTGGAACATCACTTGATTACAAGCAGCCATAAGTATGTTCTGATGCAACCACTGAAATAACAAAACAAAGAATAATCACTCACGAGCTGACAGAGGAAATAAAACGGAATCATAAAAAATTCTCAACCCAAAGACAGACAGAAAACGAGGGAACAGAGGAGTGGACAAAATATACATGGAACAAATAAAAAGCAAATGCAGAGAGATTAGAGTTAAAACTAACCATATCAGTAATCAAATGTAAATAGTATAAACACCCCAAGTAAAAGGCAGAATTTTCAAATTGGATGAATGCTTTCCTCCAAGGAGTAACTTTAATTATAAAGACACAAAATTACTAAAAGTAAGAGGGTAGGAAGGAATATACCAAATTAACACTAATCAAAAGAAAACTAGAATGACTATATTAGTATCAAAGTATATTTTAAAACAAAGAATGTTACC